TCTATCTATCTATCTATCTATCTATCTATCTATCTATCTATCTATCTCATTCTCACTCACACAAACTTGTCAGAAAGCATTTTCATGTTATTGTGCTGGATAATGATAATGTTTACTCTTATATAACTTCTTCCTCTCTTAGAGATGACAAAGCTCACATTATTTTATCTGGGAACTTGGAATTGTTTCTCAGGGTCTTTTCCCATGGAACACTATATCTGAGCAATAGTAATAAGTACATCTCCTCCTCCTTTTCCTTGTCATTTTAAACAAACAAACAAGAAAACAAAAAAATAGTTAATCAAAGAATAGTTAGGGGCTACGCAGTTTAAATCTCCAAGATTTTTACAGAAATCTATATATTACATGCTCTGAGGATTGATCTGATTCTTAAGAAAACAATCTTGTTTAACAGCTGTGAATCCAACGTGAAAGAACTCATCTGAAATTGTCTGTTCATCTATGAATTCTACTGCATGCTTCTTTTTTGAACAGTTTTTGTGCCTGCCTTTTATTTCTTAAAAAGTTTATTTTCTGTGTTGAACTCTTGTTACCAGGTCTTTTCCCCTCTCATTTCGAACTACTGGTGCTTTATAAAAGCACTTGTCTATGCACAACAGATGCTGTGCTAAATTCCAGAATCAGGTGAACCATGTAATATTAAAAAGATGCAATCTTTTGAGGGGGGTTCTTGTGAAGGTAAACAGAAAAAGGAAGGTAGTGCAGGAGCACACTTCACAGTACGGTGTCAAAATAACTTGGAATGTCTTTCAGGCTGCTTAAATAACTTACCAGGCCTCTGAACATATAACAAGTATACTGAACATTGTTGTAGCTCGAGGGATTTGGTCATGTTTTCTCAGTAAAGTTAACACTTACTGTTCGTCTGGTGTCATGCTTGATACACAGTGAATCAGCTAAGCTGTGTGTCCACTGCTGAACTCACTTTTCTGTGTCCCTCCTTTTCTCTGTGCCCTTTTGTCACCTGATATTTCTTGTTGTGTTAGTTCTGATTAATCCTATTTCTTTCTCAAACTTTATAGGAGAAGAAAGTTGGTAATAGTTATTTTCCAGAATGGATTTGCCTGATAATGTTAGTGGCTGGACATGGTCTTATGTTCAGGTCACTGGCTTATAGCTTATAGATCTAGGTTATAGAAGAATGCTTTGGAGTGGGGCTTGGGGATAGGGAGGTCTGGGTCTGAAAGAAAAGAAAGGTATTCTTCTACAACCATGAGTACGTACAGATTCGGATTCTGTAGCCAGAGAAACAAGTCTCTGAGTATCCTACTGTGGCACTGTTTGGCTGCTTCCTACAAAGCCATTCAACCTGTTAGTAAGGTGACTTTATTTAGGGTGGTAGAATCTGATCAGTCAGGTTAACCATTCCTGCTGAGAGAAAGTGAGCATCTGAGGGAAGGCTAGGGTATTTTTCATGCAGTTGTCGTTGCTCACTTTTACCCTCAAACTAAAACTCCTATGAAAAAGTAAAACTGTAGCAAGTGACAGCCATAAAGGCCTTTCCATTCTTAAAAATCACTTTTATTTATCATTTCAACACATGCCTTGTTTTTATTCTTGTTATTTTACTTAAATTTTCCCATTATACCACCTGATTATGTATCGTGCCACCTGTAAATTGTTTTTTATAACATCCACCAGTAGAGGGTTACATTGTAGCCCTCATCTTTATTGCATTTACATCTTTTTTTTTTTTTTAATTTTATTACAGAGACAAGAAAGATTTGCTGATAGGTCACTACTGGAGATGGAAAAAAGGGTGAGTATCTGTCTTACTGAATCAGTATCATTGCCTCTCCCCCTTGTATTGTTTGGATAAGCAACAGTAGAATTTGTTTTGTTTCTGTAGACAGTAGTAGTTAGTAAGGAAACCCTTTGTTGTTGGAGATGGTAGTTCACTTGTACTCCTTTCCAGTTATGATTACTGCTCAGGAGTCTGGCCATGGCCATAGGAATAGACCTATAAGGTCTACATGTTGAAAGAAAACCTATAAAATGCAGCACATCTGATTAGCAGCCAGACTTACAGGCTGGGGAGAAGAACACACGGTGTGGTTACTGTGACCTATCTTGAGATCAAAGAATAAATATCAGGAACAGTTGATGTGAAAGCATTGTTCTTCCTTGGCATTTTGATTTGTTTGTTTGTATGTTTGTTCGTTTTGAGACAGGATTTCTCTGTGCAGCCTTGGCTGTCCTGGACTCACTTTGTAGACCAGGCTAGCCTTGAACTCATAGAGATCTGCCTGGAAGCAGTGTTTAAAGATTGGTGTAACTGATGGTTACTAAAAGTTCAGAATCATGTATTTTATTAAATTTAATATTACTGCGTATTGTTCATGTAGCTATATATCTTATAATATGTAACACTGAATTTTATCCCTAAGGCACATAGAACGACTAAGATCAGGTCTTATGCCAGTACAAATAGTTGCCATAAGAAAAACAGTGGGATATGTATTTGTTTCACACTAACACTTTTAAAGAATATTTCTTAGGAAGACAATGCTTAGTACACAGATTTTACCACAAGAAAAAAGCAAAATCATCAGTGATTTTTATCAAGGATATGTTAATCGCAAATTTAGTGCCTTCCTTGTGACACACACGTTTATATTCTCTTCTCACCTGACCTTGTTTCTGCTTGTCAAATGCATATAAATTATAAAGTAGCTCATGTGTTCCTGTTTAATACACTTTGGTGGTTACGATTTAATTGACATTACAGATTAATGTTAAGAGGTGCTAACATTTATTTGGGATTCTCCATGTATAAGGCAGACACTATACTAAGCAATTTGCATGTATAGTTTTCAGTTTAACAATTAATAGTTTCTTCAAGCTAGTAGGATCAGGTAATTGGGAATATTGTTCTAGTGTTGCTTTATAATTGACTTAAAATCTTGAAGATACCTTGTAATATTGAGGTTCATGGGAGTATTACCCATCAGTCCAGAAGAAGTTGTATGTATGTATGTATGTATGTATGTATGTATGTATGTATGTATGT